TCGAACTCGTCGAAGATCTCCTCGAATGGCCGTCCTCCGAAAGCCGCCTCTACTATGCGCCTCGTCGCGTGCATTGAGTGGGCTGGTGCATTTGAGTGCAGTTTGGACATGATGTCGCACATCTCATTGGGAAAGATGTCCGATCTCGAGGCAGCCCATTGTCCGAGCTAAATGAAACAAGTGTTAGCTGTGCTGGCATTGCAGCAGAGGTCAGAAGACTGCCGCCAAAGAAACGGGAATAATGTACCTTGATGAAAGCCGGCCCCGCCCACTCCATGGCCTGGACCAAGAAGTTGTACCACCAGAGTGTGCCGCTTCTCTCATTGTCCCTATGTGGCTGCCGACTGCCAAACCATATCGCCGGTACTGTGATAATTACAGGGACAAAGATGACCACGAGCTGGAGGAACCGAGCTCCGGTGCACAAAGGCTCCCATATGTACACATCTAGGTAATATATTGCATTATTCTTGAACTTAACCAGCCCGTGGTTGGTCTCATCTTTGGTTTTTTCTATCTCTAATCTCGAGGCGTGGAGCATGCGCTCTTCCGAGGTCTGTTCGGGGTCGTCACTACCATCTTCCTTTTCTGACAGGCTCACGAAGGCCGCTGTACCCAAGGCAGCCCCGTTGACAGTTGCAAAGAGCAATCCTCTCGTGTATCTGGGCGGCGGTGGTGATCTTTGTGAGGCTCTGTATCGGAAGTTCAACCGCCACGGCGTGGGCCTCGGTAGCTTCGGGACCTGGGAAAATGCTCGACGAGCACAGAACCGGCCGATGGGGAGGGCCGATCGCATCTCGTTGGTATGGTTAGGAATTCGTCGCGGGGCTTATTTCAGGGCGCATGATTAAGGGCCTGTCAGTGCTGTATGGGTGCGCTGTCAAGGTTGAGGTCTCACGGGGTTACGAAAAGTCTACGGAGGCACTGCTGGGAATGCTCGCATCGCTCGCGCAGCCTATCCGGAGGCCAAATGCTGCCATTAGGAAATTCGCGGAACAGTGACGTACTGCATTTGCAGCAGCTCCCCACCTGGCAGACGCGCTGCGACCGTGCCAGGCCAATCACACGTTAGTGCTCTGTCCCGGCGCCTCCAGTGGGCCAGGCGCAAACCTTTTACTAAAAGGCCTGGCCGTTTGGCTCCGGCTCGGGTTTGTGGAACTCTGTCTGATAGGGATGTCGCAATGGAACCCCCCAGCCGAAAAAAAAGTTATCCACTCATCTTGATAACAAAATAATCTTCTTTCTTCTTGTCGATCTGCAGACGGCATCACCATCCGCACCCGAACTCCTTGGCGCTACTTGTCTCAGTGAAACACGAACACTTTCCTCCCATCCTTCAACAGCAAAGCGTATCTTCATCCGTCTCTTCAGCGAAAATGGGCTGGTTTTGGGCAGACACCCCTCAAGACAAGCCGGCCGTGGCTGCACCCCCTTCTCACCACAACTTCGCGACGGAAGGACTATCACCACCGGTAAGATTCCACAGAACTTTGATCTTTTCTTGCCTTCCAAATGAGCGAGTCTAATCCCAACCCAGCCGCAATGTCCCATGCACAAGAAGACTGCAGAGACTATGTCGGTGTGTCCTGTCAAGCACGATAAACCCGCCGCAGCCGCAGCCGCGCAACCACCTCCTTCCGGTTGCCCCGTTCCTCACGGATCCAGATCCGCAGACCCTGTCTCTTCGACCGAGGCATCGCCATCTATCCTGTCTAAGCTCAACCCTCTGAACTACATGTTCCCTGACCTCTCCCAATCCCCAGCTCCATCGCAGACGCACTACCTGCCCACGGAGCGCGAGCCATCTACCATCCCCAAGGGTGATGGTGACGGCAACTGGGAGTACCCTTCGCCACAGCAGATGTACAACGCCCTCCTCCGCAAGGGATACACCGATACGGATGTCACCGCTGTTGAGAGCATGGTCAGCGTTCATAACTTCCTCAATGAGGGTGCGTGGGCCGAGATTATGGAGTGGGAAAAGCGCTTTGCCGGAGGTCTGCGTCGCGGCTGGCAGCTCTGTTCCAAGGGCGAGCAGAACTTCGACAGACAAGTTAGAAAATACGGATACGAGAAGGAGGTAGACGATCTCGCACCCAGCTTGGTCAGATTTCAAGGTCGACCTACCGAAATGACGCCTAAGGCGGCTATGATCCAAGTCATGGGATGGTTGTATCCAACCATGTTTGGGTAAGTTGATTTCGCATACGGTGATCTTATATTGATGCATATCCCGAATCCCTGGCTTACGATATATCCGCAGAACCGAGCCCCCCTTCGACCGTCACGATTGGTTTGTATCCCGCGAGATAAACGGCGAAAAGAAGGAGATTCGTTATGTCATCGACTATTACTCTGGACCCCCCGAGGAGACGGGCGAGCCTGTGTTTTACCTAGATGTCAGACCTGCCGTGACGCCCACTGCCGCCGTGGAGCGAGCCCTACGATGGGGTTGTGACGTCTGGTGGAAGGCCTCGGGCGGCGATGTCCGTGAGCAAGAGAAGCTAGATGCGCAAAGGAAGGCAAGACTCGGCCAGTAATTTCGCAAGACTCCCGGCGGGTTCTCACATCGCATCATTGGCAGAGCATGGAGTTTGGTTTTCACTAGCGGAACAAGGGGTCAGACTTGTATGAATATATGTTGTAATACCTGGAGTTCTTTTGAGGGCATGGGAGCACGGATAGAGGAGTAACAGTCGTATTATCCGACTTTTAGTATGCCTTTTGGGCCATTTACTACGGGGTCCCAGGCAAAAATTGTATCATAGACTCTTCCTTTTTTTAAACATACAGCTCCAGCATCCCCTCCCCTCTGAATGAGTTGAGCAAGCTACTTCTGCAATAGAGAGACTGATCCAATTCAATACATATACACTTGGCATCGGTGAAGAAGCAGGCCCGTATATTGTTGGCGAGGTAGGTTAGCACACGGTACAACTGGTGCTAACGAGTGCTGCAGCAGACACCGTAGCAAGCGTATTCCTTCCATGATAGATCAAGCACAATTTTTACATTATCGGCAATGTCCACGTTTGCCTACAGAACGGCTCCTAAGCTTTGAAGACAACGTGAAAGTCTTGTTAGTTGGTGTTGGCCACCTCTCACGCAGGGTCCTCGGATCGACGCGGGCAGTCTCCATGACCCATGTCCATCGGCATTCTCTCTTATTTGTAAAATGCGGGGGTATAGGCCCGGCGAGCCGGCGCGGTCCAATTTACCCTTGTCCCCAGGTTGTCAAATGATCTGTTCCGCCTCTTGAGGCTGGGCTACAAATATGGAAGGGACCCCTGGGGTGGTCTCGCTGCCAGATAAATTTGTGATTTAATTCTCTTCCGTCTCCTGTCGCGTATCTGTTGCAACTAGAATACCTCGCTAATCGCAAGTTGGGTGACGCCGGATTGGGGCTCCCCGCAACCCCAATTGAGGATTTTGACATACGTGGTGGAATATAGGGCCAGATCCCACCTTGCCATTCGGCTCACCACGGCCTTCGCCAAACCCGCCCGCCGGCAAAAGAAGTGAACAGCGTGGCGATTTTGGTTGTTTCCCGTTTTTCTACGCAGAGCTATCACCGCCCACGACTGGAATCACGCAGGCCGCAGGGAAGGGGCTAATTTATCTGGCGGGGTATACTCTTTGAGGAAAAGAACCGAGTGCGCCATTCGGGGGACGTCTTTTAAAAAGAGGGCTGCCACCCTCTTCCCATCGCCATGCTGGAAGCGTACCTCCCTGAAGTCGAGCTCACGCTCTTCCACCGCATGGGACTCATCTGGCTCTTCATCATCGCTGGCCTTGTTGTTGCCCTGCAAGTATCACAGTCCTGGGCTGAACCCCGTCCACAATGGACAGTTATTGATCAACACTCGAGGTAAGTCGGGGGTCCATTTTCATCCACCCACGCTTCAAGCTCTCGATCCTCCTCGATCTTCTCATGATTGACTGTTTTGCTTTATCGTTGCCAACGCTTGTCCTTGCTTCATTATCTGTATCCGTATCCCCATCTCTATTTTTTATTCCAAATTGGCCAAGTCAACATGACACGTTGTGTGAGGAACAAGTTCAGGAAGAGTGGTGACAGGCGAGCAAAATTGAAAGATTCACCAAATTTCTAACTGCATCACGTACACAGGCCCTATTGGATGACATATTACGTTTTTGTTGCATTTCTATTCATGCAGATCACCTACCGCCCTCTTCTTTTCAACCTCGATGGCCTCCTGGGGGGCCTGGAGGTGGAAATTCTCGACGCCCTGTGGATCGGTCTACTAGGTCTCGAAGCCGTCATGCTAGCTTGGGTCTTTGTCCTCCGCATTGCAGCCATCACTGGTAATAGCAGTGCTACGGGGAGAAAGAAGGTCAAGGAGTTGTGATGTACTCCTGAATTTGACAGAACTCCCTTTGGATATAGAAGAACTAGCTTTAACTTCTCTTTCTGGGATTCGTCACCGAGCAAAAGGAACAGGCCTTGCCCTTCCATGAATAATTACACTTAAATTCTGAACTAGACATGCTTACATCAGACTATATCAGACCATGAACTAGATTGATAGCGGTGAAAAAATTATCAATGCCTTTGACAAATCAGGATGCGGAGGTAAAAGAGCCGCCGTGGGCCGTGTGCCGTATGCCATACTTTGTAATATTCTGAGCACGACTATTGCTTCTATGTAGAATTGATACTTTGTCTCATGAAACAAAATAATGTCTCGCAGTCGTTCGCCAATATTTCGGGTGATTTGGTGCCTTACTTACAATAACCTTGCTTTTGAGGACACTATGTCAATAGTATAGAGACATGTACCAGTTTTGGACAGTGCTTAAAACAAAGAGTACAGTCCATAGTACGCAGCCCTGGGCTTGTGAACAGTGGATAAGTGGGATCCATAAAATGAAGCAACCGAGACAAGTAAAGGGAGAGGAAGTGGGGCAAACCTTGGAGTCTTTCAGTGGTTCCACCCAAATGTTCATTAACTCCAATAAAATCCCGATTCTTCAACAACGGGCGCATGGTCTAGGGGTAGTAAGTTACCACAATTAATCTCGTCGGGCAAAGTTCCCAACTAACAACGTACACAGTGATTTTCGCTTCGCATCAATCAAGATACGATTGTGAAAGGTCCGGGGTTCAAATCCCCGTACGTCCAATCATGAAATTTTTTGGTTTTCTTTTTTTGAATGAGTTTGAGGTTTCGAATCATTTATTTGATTGATATCATCTTTTTTTTATTGGTCTGAAGCATTAATGTTGATAAATTTGTAAACGTTACTCTCATCCTACTTTGAAAATTTGAGCAGAGCATACAATTACCAGGGTGTAAAAACCGCAGAATCTCCTTTGAAAGCCTCAATGAGTCACTTCACAGTTCTTAATCAATGATGAGAAATGCTCCTGTTGAATACAGTCTGATGCACATTGTTCTCCTGGTGTCGAAGGTGCTAGAAATACGTGTCCAATTTGACAGGGTATCTGCTGTGCCATAAAATGGACATATTTCCATGAATAAAGCGAGGCTACCTAGCCCATCTCACCAGCTGGATATTCGAAGTAACACGAAAATTATGGGCGTCGCCCAATGAACTCGGTGTTTTAGTCTCAGCCGATTTTGGTCTGCGTGTAACAACTTGAGGTCCACACAACTTACTTCACAACGTTTTGCTCCTTTGTGCGCAAGTATTTTGCATGTAACTCCTGTGATAAAAATATTTTTTCCCTTTACCTTAGATATGGTTAGATAGATTGGCTCATCCGAGCATTGTTACCGCCGAGCAATCCATGATGTGAAGTCTTGTCTGCTTTTAATCGGTCAATAGCCTATCGATAAGAACCACGGCTTGCTACTCTGCTTGGAATCATATGCCAAGTAGAAGCGACAGGGAGCACTCACACAAGTGCAGGCAATAGAGCGCTCACACTTAGTCAGCACCCTAGACTGATATACAAACCTGCATGACTTGGCGGGATGTCATAACTTGGCGTGTGGTTCTGCCATCGCGCAATGGTCACCGTGCCACGTATAAGGGTGGAGCCAATTCCCGCACCGAGCTGCGGGGGGACTCGGTGAGTTGAAGTTGAACTTGTAAACTCCTCCATATCCAACTCAATCTTTGCTTCTGTTCGTACAAGATGCAGTTGGCCGATCTTACCTTTGAAAACACCCTGGGGGGCTTGGCTGTTCTGGCGGTTTTATATACCGTGGCGATCACCATATGGAGATTGTACTTTAGCCCCCTGGCTAGCTTCCCCGGTTCAAAACTCGCTGCCTCCACCCTGTGGTATGAGTTTTACTGGGACGTGGTGAAGGGAGGGCAATGGGTTTGGAAAATCCAGGAGATGCATAAGCAATATGGTGAGTGTAAGACCTTGACGCCTGTGAACTCATCTTTTTCGTGTGGAACATTTTCCATCTTCATTCTTTTTATTCTGATGTCATACAGGACCTATTGTCCGTATTAACCCATACGAGTTGCATATCCTTGACTCGGAGTACTATGAGGAACTGTACTCTGGGAAAAAGGATAAATACAAGTGGTGGACAAAGCTTGGTGGCGCAGACGGCAGTAGTTTCGCAGCCGCATCACATGAGCAGCACCGGCTGCGCAAGAGTGCCGTCGCCCCTTTCTTCTCCAAGAGGTCTATCACAGACCTCGAACCAATCATCGCCGCAAAAGTTGACAAGTTGTCTACGAGGTTCGATGATATCGTCAAAACTGGCGAGGTAGTTCGGCTCGATGTAGCCTTGATGGCATTGACGATTGATATCATTTGTGATTATGCCTTTGATGCGGATCGCAGATACCTGGATGAGCCAGACTTCAAGCTACAGTGGAAGGAGACCTTGCATGGCGTGTTCCAAGTAGGTGCGATAAACAGACACTTCCCGTGGATACTACCCCTGACTAGCGGGCTTCCACTTTCTGTTGTCTCGCTACTAGATCCGGGGGTCGCATTTATGTTGCGATGGCAGAATGCCGTCCGTGACGAAGTGAAACCTATATTGAATGGCAAAGGAGAGGGCAGGACCATTTTTCACGCGCTGCGCGATAGCTCATTGCCACCTGAGGAGAAGACTCTCGATCGACTATGCGATGAAGCTGCCATCTTCACTGGGGCCGGATCTGAGACTACTGCTATGACCGTTACCAGAATAATGTTCTTCCTGCACAACTCCCCTGAGGCCCTGTCGAAACTGAAGGAAGAATTGTGGCGTCTTATTCCGAATGCCCGAAACATCCCCAAGTGGAACGATCTGACTGAATTTCCGTATCTTGTGAGTAGACCCGGATTTGGACTACTGGCCCTGATTCATGATTTGCTGACATTTTACAGACTGCTGTGATTCAGGAGGGGATTCGACTGTCCGGAATCACAGCTAGACTCCCACGGATCAGCCGTGAACCAGTACGATACCGTGACTGGGTCATCCCATCAGGAGTATGTTCATTGGATCGAGCTGCTACTCTCGCTACGTTATATACTGATAGCCACTCTACAGACTCCCGTATCGGAAACGCCATATTTTGTTTTACAGGATGCCTCCATTTTTCCTGCTCCGGAGAAATTCCGGCCGGAGCGTTGGCTTAAAGACGAGGATGAAAGTAAACAACTTGACCGCTACCTAGTCACCTTTGGAAAGGGAACTCGACAGTGTGTTGGCATAAAGTAAGTTAATTTTTAGTTTGTTTGCTTATATGAAAGCTCCGTTAGGTGCATGCGTGCCGGACGGATATTTAGCTAACAAAATGTTCGAAAGCCTCGCATATGCCGAGATGTATTTGCTGGTTGCCACGATTGTCAGACGCTTCGAATGGACCATTGTTGACCGCATCACATTGGATGACGCTGTATGCAATCGCGATTCGTTTGTCATGGAGTCTACCCTGGAGACCAACGGAGTGCGAGTTATGTTACGCAGAGCAGAGTAAAATGGGAAGCACGTCTTGTACCACCTGCAGCTTCAGCAGGTTGAGTTTGGGTTTCTCAACAAGCTGCCCGTTAAGGATCGGTACAATATCATCAGGAAGGTGCCTTACGAATGCAGCTCTACACTCCTGTATAGTTGGTGGTCCGCAAAAACCACGTACTAGATACCCCACAAAATGTTAATATATCTAGTACTTCGTTGAGAGCGATAAAGTGCTTTATTTATCTCATATTGCCATATTTTTTAAAAAAGTCCGTTCAATTTGATCATAATTTGCAATGTGCTTTCCATAGTATGTTCCCCAAACCTATATAAACAAGGTCGATAATGGTAGCTTGTTTCCTAATGCGCTCGGAACACTACAATGTGCCGCAGTCCAGGAAACAAGGTCATAAACAATCACACAATTCTCTCAATCAACAGCCGTACATCATCTAAATGATTATATACCACCTGCACATTGTGGTCGGTAAATTCTTGCCGATGAAAACCAATCACGTTGGTATAACCATGGATCTGAAACTCAAAGTGGCAGGGATCATGTAGATCAAGCAGGCGTGCTGAGTCTTGGCTCGCCCAGAGCCTCCTTGAAACCCGCCGAGTTAAGGTAGCGGGGCCTGGTCGTTCGATGGCATTGTAAAGATTATCGCCAAAACCCCCATGCATCTGGACGGCCTGCTTAATCTTGCATCTGCCTCGGGACCGTTGCAGGGGGGGCTTGGCGCGCCAATTTAACCTTTTAACTCCGGATATGAGACGAACGTCACGTCTCGTCCGAGTTGACAAGCCGCAGGGGGGTTGAGCAGCTCGTGACTGTGTACGGGTGGTTTAATTATAAGAGGCAAACCCCAGCATTTTCTGGAAAGGTTTGCAAATGTTGATCATCATTCTCTTATCCCGAATTCGCTTCATCTTCCAGCCTTTTTGCAACTTTGTATAGCATACCCTCTGGTCAGGGCTTCCTTCATTTAAGCTATACTCTTTTATATTTTTATTTTAAACTACTTTAATATGCATACTCTCGCTTTCAGCATCGCTGCATTTGCAGCCCTCGCAGCAGCTGCACCCACCGCCCAGCCCGCTGTACCTGACAGCCTGTCAAGCCGAGCGTCGTCGGCGTGCTTCGTCGTCGGCAGCACCACCCTCCCCGCGGAAGTCTCCGACCTCGTCCCGGGCCTCCAGAAGGTCGTCACATGCAACACGGCCAAGACCACGATAGCCGGCGTGCCCGACGTCACCAGCGGCGGCGTCACCTTCTCGGACATCGACTTCAGCACCTCGTCCCAGACGCCGCTCCAGTTCGCGCTCAGCGAGTTCGCCACGGCCAGCCCGCTGGCCAGCACCAACCTGACCAGCTTCCAGAGCCAGCTCAACACCTACCTGGCCACCGAGGTGGGCATCCGCAGCGTCGGCGGCAGCCTGGCCATCAAGGTGCCCAAGTTCTTCCTCGAGTTCCAAGTGAGCCGCATCCAGACCGCCCAGGGCAACCCCCCAGCGGATGCCGCCTCGCAGGTCAGCCACTTGTTGACCAAGGTCCTGACGAACGCGGCTGGGGAGAGTCAAACATTACGGGACCAGGTCACTGCGCTGTCCACCAAGCTCACTTGATTACCTTAAAACTGTGAGATGTTTGGTAGGAGTGTCAGTTGAAGCATGATGCATTGTCCAGAGGGAACTGTCTAGAGTGTTTGGAATGTCGGCATTGGTTGACTTTTGCGTGTACTCCATCCATCTACACCATTACAACCTCCATAGTCACTTTTAAGAGATAGAACATAAATCCACTACCAAAATATCGAATAGACTTGTCACATAAAGGATTCTTGTGTCACGATTGATAATCCAAGTCGTACTTGTTCAGGTCTATATGTATAACTTTAATTCAAATTCCCAAGCCGCGAACCTCTCTTCTTCATCTGCTCTGGTATATATATATTAAAAAAAGCGGAAGGTTCAGGTCTAAGATGTCCGAAATAGCTTCAGCAGCAACCTGTGCGTGCCTCAACTTAGGGGCTAGCCTCCTTAAGCCATTGGAAGTACATCCATGTGGGAAACCGTGAGATCTCCTAAAAGATAAGAAATTTCCCACCGGGGGAAGACCGAGGGAAAAAAAAATAGAAGAAGCAGAGAGGTTTGAGGCATGGGGAAAGCACTTCCGGGCACTCCTTCAAGCCTCGACACGGACCCTGCGCATCTCAAACTGTGTCTCAGGGTTGACGCGG